TGATGTAAATTACTGGAATTCGAGAGTGGCCCGGGCTCGGGTTTTGCAAATTTCATGATTGTCGATGTTTTTCGATTCTTTTCGATTGGGTTATGTTCCCTTAGCCTATTGTGACGTATTCGTTGTGGTTTTGGTCAGATTCGACGCGCGAGGAGGCCGATTTGCTAGGCAAGGGCATAGCGAGCTAGGATTTTGGCCGACTTGAGGTGAGTAATGATAGTAAATGATATCCTGAGGGTTTGAAACCCCGGATTTGCACAACATAGTGCTATATTGAGGTGAAACATGCGCTTCATGGCGAACGCGGGGTTGTTTACTACTGGGGATTGTGACTTGGTCCGTCCCGATTGATATTTTTACCGCGTATTTGACTGAAACTTATTAGTTATTATCATGATTTGGGCCTATTGCCATATTTTGGGCTTCATGCCGACTACTTGAACCCTTCGTGGATTTTTATCACTGTTTCCTCACTATTTTGATATACTATTTGAACTCAGTCCTGTTGATTATACTGTTTTTACAAACTCAGCTGCTTTAATTGAACTTTGAGACTTAAATGATATTTCCACTGTTGTTTGGGCAGAGCACCACTATTTTATTGATGCCCGAGGGCCTTATGTTGATATAGTGCTTGGGCCGTAAGGGGCCCCTCCGGAGTCTGCACACCCACAGTGAGCGCGGGTACCCATATGATCTAAGAGTGAGCCCGAGGGGCTGATATTATGCTGAGTGACTGATACTGAGCCCGAGGGGCTGATACTGTTCTGAGCGATTGATGCTGGGCCCGAGGGGCAGATTTTTACTCACTATTTACTTGTTGCTTTACCTGATTTACCTGTTTTTAAAAAGAGATTTCATTTGACTCTTTACTGTTTTACGGCTTTAAGTGATTTACTGCCTGATATAGAATTGCCTTGTGCACTTATGTGTTTTCTTGCCTTCGGTTATTATTTATTATTATTACTCACTGGGTCGGAGTACTCACATTACTCTTTGCACCATGTGTGCAGATTCAGGCATAGCAGAGTCCGCTCCTAAGCACTGATTCCTTCCAGACCAGGCAGCGAGTTGGAGTTACGAGGTAGCTGTTGACGTCCGCAGCCCCTTGTCTCCCCTATCTTACATCATTTATGTTTTCTTCAGACTATTGTATCGGATATTACTCTTTGTAGACTTATAGCAAACTCTGTAGTAGCTCATGACTTGTGACACCCCGGTTTGGGCTGTGTCGGGATGGTTTCCCTTGTTATTATCGCTGATTTCGCATTATTGACTATATTAAGCATGTGTTAGAATTGTTAATATTAATTTATTGCTTTAAAAGAGGTGTTTGCGTTGTTCTGGCTGGCCTTGTCTTCACGAGAGGCGCCATCACGATCGGGTTGGGAATTGGGTCGTGACACATAGTCCCTTGACGTCCTCAAGCTTTTTCTATATGATGTTTAGTATTGATTTATTGGAGGATTCTGCTTTCCTGTTGCCCCCTGGTTGGTACGGTGTGGAGAGTATTCTTTTGATATGCCACTTCTCAAAATATTCGGCGACCTTTTTTCCGGTAAATTGGGGTTCGTTTTCGCAATTGATCTCTTTGGGGAGGCCGGAGCGGCACACAATGTTTTTCCATAAGAAGCGATTACTTCCTGTTTGTGTACCTGGGCGAATGCTCCTACTTCTACCCATTTAGAAAGATAGTCAGTTAAAACCAAAAGAAATCGTACGTTACCTCGTCCCGCAGGGAGAGGGCCGACAATGTCCATTCCCCACTTGATGAAAAGCCGAAGGGAACTGATCGAGTGGAGGTGCTCGCCCGCTTGGTGGATCATTGCGGCGTATTTTTGCATTGCTCGCATTTTTTCACGAAGTCTGCGGCCTCTTTTGTGATAGTAGGTGTCACACCTCCTTTTTCCTACTCCCTGGAAGGGTATGTAAGGGAGTTTTTTTCAATTTAAGTGACAATCGAAATATGATTATTTATTTAAGATTCATAGTCGCCACTTGGGATAATTTATGGTGTCCCAAGTCACCGGTTAAAATTCCGAATCGAGGAAGTTGACTCTATTTACGGTCTGCGAACAGAGAAATTCGGGTAAGGAATTCTGTTAACCCGAGAGAAGGTGTTAGGCATTCCCGGGTTCCGTGGTTTTATCACGGCCGCTCAATTGTTATTATTGGCCTATTTATTTGATTTTAAAACATCTTTGAAACCTATGTGTATTTTTATTCCCCTTCGAAACCGCTTTTAATAATCCGATTATTATACAACTAATTACTTTATTACACGTTTGCGAATCATGTCACGGGAACCGTACCCACAATTCACATCGTGTTTATTTTTATTAAAAAGATTAAATTGTGACCGCGTCACATAAATGTACCCCCGGATTTTAGAAATTAGGCATCACAACTACGTCATGGGAACCGTACCCGTAGCCATGACAATTATTCAATTAACGCGCCTAAAGCAAACTACGAAAGTTCAAGGCAATTTCTATACTAATTTATGTGAGGGCCATATATTATGGATTTTATTTGTGTATGGCACACCTCAAATTATTTTAAAGAGGAAGGTTTGAACTAATCTTTTGAGGGCCGTGGACCATGGTTTTGGTAACATGGCACACCCCAATCTAATTTAAAAGAGTCCAACTAATTAAAGAAGACTAAGAGAGTTCGAATTTATTTTAAGCTAATGTTCAAACTAAACTTAATAATCAAAGGGCTGGTGTTGAAAGAAATCGGGTATTTGGTTGTTTGAAGGGCCTAAACTGGCAGCAGGCCCAAATGTCTTTTTGAAAGCTTCCATATCAAGGCAAAAGGACGACTGGGCTCACACGAAGCCCAGAATGCACATGTGATCAGCGAAGGGGCATTTGGGCACAACTGGGCCAACACCAAAGCCCAATTGCATGATTCACCACAACCAATTGAAACACATTATACTTCTTCATGAAAATCTTGAGATTAAACAAATACTAGCAATTCTTGCAAGTTTTAAAACGGATGCAAAACATATTTTTTGAGGCCAAATCACATTCTATAATAAATGCAACCCTTAATGTCATAATAACTCATATACAGTTTGTCTTGTTATTTACATCATAACAGAATTCGATTTTTAAAACCAAACGAAACTAATATGATTTCAGAAAAATTCATCTACTAGAATGGATTCAACCCTGTCCAATTCCAAATCTAAAAAATACATGAATGCCTACTGGTTTCGTGCCAAACACGTCAAAATCTTCAAATGTCCAAACTCACATGACAGCCTCACAACCATAGTTTAGCACAGTCCCCAAAATAGAATACTATACAGACTTAGACCCTAAGCATATGAACTCTGAATCTTACTAGGGGATGGGGTATTAGGGCTGACATTTAATTACAACTAAAAAACCATGACTATCAAACTAATTAACAAATGTAATGCTAAATAAAAGAAATCAAAATCTGGCAGGCAAGCCCAATTTCATTCAAAGCACACTGAATCCTTCATTTTTGCACTTTCAAAGTTCAAACATACCTGAAAAGACAAAGAAAAGACTAACAGAGCTTCAGCAAGGAAATCTAAATGACAGCAGGTCTTAAAGCAGTAGCAAATCAAAAAATTATCAGTCAGCTTCTCATATTTTGAACCCAGAAGAAAGGAGCAATTCAAAAACCAAACAAAAATGAATACACCAACTTCAATGGAACAACAATGGTTAATTTTTTTTTTTGTATTTTTCTTTCTGTTTTTTTCAGACTCTCTCAATGTTTGTGTTTCTTCAGCCGTTTCTCACTTTTCTTGTAAAACTCCCCCCTTCTAATTGAAAGAAAGCAACCTTATATAGAAGGTCCTAGGGCAGCAGAAATAATTTTACCAATTTATCAATCAACCCTTCCCCAATTTTTATTTTTTCACTTTTAACCCTGATTTTCTAGCCTGTTTGTTAAACTAACCCCAACGCCACCTTCCTGGAAGTTTCTCAGGCAGTTTGTGAAAGATTCCCCTGCCCAAATTTCCTAAACTAACCTTTAAACTCCTCCCAATTACCTTCAACCCCAGCTGGGCTCGAAACCCTTTAAACAAACTGAAAATACCAAAAAAAAAAAAGAAAAAACCCCCCACAACCCCTTGGGCCTAAATGCTGATGGGCCTGTCTACGTGCAAGGCAGGCCCCAAACCAAACGGAGCCCAAATTAAAAATCAACTTCTGAAAGAAGAAGAAAGAGAAGAAGAATGAGACCAAAACAACGATAATTCTAACTAAATGAATCCAGATATATCAACTCGTTTAGCCCTAAGAAATGTAACAAAACTAAAACAAAGAAATTAGAACCAATTATTAAAGAAATATACTGATTTAAGGCCTAACAAAACTAAACTCTGTTACGACGCCTAATTAGACAGACTAAATGACTTTTGAGATAAAACACAAAGAAAAGAAAACTAAGATTCTTCATTTTCGAAAGAAAAGGAGAAGAAGATAAAGAAAAGAAAGGGAATGGATGGACAGAAAAGGGACCAAGAGAGATAGAAATACCTAAAACCCGGTGGATGGACGACTTAGGCTAGGCAAACTCAGGCTTTTCCGATTTGAGCCAAAATGAGTGTTAATCGACTGTTCTTGTGAGAACAACCGACTAACACTCGTTTCAGGCCCAAATTGTCTTCAAAGATGGGAGAACATGGACTCAGGCCCTTGTATGATGAGTTAAGGGCGGGAATGGATTTAGGGTTTCATTTTTAGATCTGAAATTAAAGGCGACCGGTGGAGATTTTGGGGAAATTGACACCGGCATGGTGTTTGAGGGATTATGGGGAGTGTGTGGTTAAATTTTGGTGGGATTTGGAGCTTCAACACCGCCGGTGGCGAATCCGGCGGGTGGCAGGCGGTGGTGAGATATGGAGATGAGAGAGAAGCTTGTAACAGATCCTAGGTTATTTTAGAGCTATTCAGATAATTAAAAACGAAAGAGGGGGACTTTCACGACCGTTGGATAAGATGAAACGGAGGGCTAGGATTTAATTAAAGCCCCTGAACTCAAAACGACGTAGTTTTGTTCCCATACTACGTCGTTTTGAGGTTCTCGTGGGCTGAAGGCTTTGGACCGGGTGGGAATCAATTTTGGGCCTGGATTGGGAAAAAATTTGAGCGGGTCTTTAATTAAAATGGCCCAATTTCACAAGACAAATCATTTTTTCAATTCCTTCTTTTATTTTCTAATTTTTTCATTTTCTTTTAATTAAAATCCTACAAATTAAAAATTCTAAATTATCCAAAAGTGTGAAATTAAACCAATTAGCTAATTATAAAAATAATAAAAAATTCTTAATTCTAAATTAAAGGAGAAAAATCAATAAGCTAAAAATTAAAAGGCAAAAATGTAAAACTGAGCTATTTTTTGTGATTTTCAAATTTTATAAAACAAATAATTACTGATTAATTCTTAAAATGTAAAAACAAAGTCCTAAATGCAATACATGATATTTTTCATGATTTAAATAAAAATTAAACATGTACAAAAAAATGCAAATAATTAAGAAAATTCTACAAAATTCCTAAAAGGGCAAATAATTAAAAGAAAAAAAATCTATTTCCTTGGGATTCTGTAGGAGTATTTCACATAGGGCAAAAATCATGTGCTCACAGCTGCCCCTCTTTGCTCGGAAACACGAAGAGTTTTTGTGCAAAGATAAAGTGAGCGGATATGAGTGATTTTTGCCCGTTTGAATACTCCGTGGGAAGCATTTTTGAAATATTTGACCACACCCTGCTTTTGAGGTTGCCTACATATCCTTGGCTATATAGGAATCAGGTCAGTGTAGTTCGGGAAGTTTTGGTAGCTGGGACTACCAGGAAGCTGTGATTTCACTATTGCTGCTGCTGCTACTGCTTGCTGAACTCCTTATTATACCAAGACAAAATAAAAGAAGCTAGACTAAACTATGATCTATGAATTACAAGAATCCTATCTACATTCTTTCAAACTTGATCTTGCAGTTTCTACTGCTCTGTTGACTTGTACGCTCCAGGTGAGCTTCCTTTGTTGCTGACTTGAATTGTATTCTGAGGTGCTTTCCCTTTGTTCTCCAGGTGGGCGCCTGATTGCATGAACTTGAACCGTCTTCCTTTAAACATTGCTGCTTTCCCTTTGTTCTCTAGGTGGGCGTCTGATTACCAACATTTGAATTGTATTCCTCGAAACTTGACTTGTATTCCCTTTGTTCTCCAGGTGGGCGCCTGATTACCAACACTTGAACTGCTTTCCCTTTGTTCTCCAGGTGGGCACCTGATTTCCAAGATTTGAACTGCTTTCCCTTTGTTCTCCAGGTGGGCGCCTGATTTCCAAAATTTGAACTGCTTTCCCTTTGTTCTCCAGGTGGGCGCCTGATTTCCCAAAACTTGAATCGCTTTCCCTTTGTTCTCCAGGTGGGCGCCTGATTTCCACAACTTGAACTGTGCTTTCCCTTTGTTCTCCAGGTGGGCGCCTGATTTCCGACACTTGAACTGCTTTCCCTTTGTTCTCCAGGTGGGCGCCTGATTTCCAAAACATGAACTGTCTTCCCTTCGAAACTGCTTTTCCTTGCACTGTCTCCCCTTGTTCTTTAGGTGGGTGCCTGATTTCATCAAAACAGACAAAACAAAAGAAATTTTCTGCCCCAGTGTGATATTGGGAACATATGTGAGTTTTATCAATTCTTGTTATCAAAATAGATTCTAAATTTAATTCCTTTATCTTGAAAATTTCAAACCAAACCCCATTTCAAAAGTGATAACTTAAATGCCAAATTACATTTCCCAAAAGTAGACCTCTTGTCAGACCTTGTCATTTGCGAGGGCCTCAAAACTTACTAAATCCTGTTATCCAAGGGGGTACTGGAGCTTACTGCCGAGTTTGTCTGGCACTTGCTTTCCTTACGGAGGGTTTCTCTGAAACAAATGAGATTTTCTGCCCCTGTTTCAATCAAAGAAAAGTCTTGTCAGTTTGAAAAATGTGGTGGTTAGTTTGTGGCATTCTTGCCGGGGGTGGCCTTTCCGCTGCTGTGCGTTGCTTTGACTGGCTGCCTTGAACTGGCCAAGAATTGTTTGACTTTCTAACTGAATCTCAACCGCAGGACCCTGAATGACCCAAGTGTTCTATACCCAAACCGTTGTTTTTACATTTCTGACCCTTTTATCTGAACCAAACCATTCAACCAATGGAACTTTCACTGACACCTTATTTCCCACTTTATATCATGCTATCACTGGTACATTCTGACCGTACTTTGCTTCGTGCAATTGGGAAGTTGGTAGTATGCTTTGAAATCTCTTCTTACTTGCTTAAACAAGGCTGGCATTGGACAAGCCTTAGAGAAATAAACCCAAAAGAAATGAAATGCAATGACTTTGAGAGTTAGGAATTGATGGAGCTGCTAACATGAAAGGTGTCGGAATAGGGGCTATGCTCATTTCTGAAACAGGGCATCACTACCCTGTTACGGCCCAGCTTCGTTTCTATTGCACCAGCAACATGGCTTAGTACGGGGCGTGCATTTTGGGTTTGAGGTTAGCTGTAGACATGGGTGTCCAGGAAGTCTTGGTCATGGCGACTCGGACCTTCTTTTGCACCGGATTCAAGGAGAATAGGAAACACGGGATTTGAAGCTCATACCGTATCGACAATGTTTGCATGATCTTTGTCAACAGTTTCGATCAGTGGAGTTCAGGCATATTCCAAGGATCCATAATGAGGTTGCCAATGCTTTTGCCACCTTGGCGTCAATGTTGCGCCATCCGGACAAAGCTTATGTCGACCCTCTGCATATTCAAGTTCGTGATCAGCATGCCTATTGTAATGTGGTTGAGGAAGAACTAGACGGTGAACCGTGGTTCCATGACATCAGGGAGTACATCAGAATGGGGGTATATCTGATACAGGCCACAGGCGATCAAAAGAGGAAAATTCGGCATTTGGCTAGTGGATTTTTCTTGAGCTGAGGGATCTTTTACAAAAGAACTCTAGATCTTGGGCTGTTGAGATGTATTGACGCAAAGCAAGCCACGATTATCATGACCGAAGTACATTTCGGAGTTTGCGGGCCTCATATGAGTGGGTATGTTTAGGCAAAGAAAATTCTTCGAGCAGGTTATTATTGGCTCACCATGGAGCGAGATTGTATCAGTTTTGTGCGCAAGTGCCATCAATGCCAATTACACGGAGATTTGATTCATTCTCCGCCATCTGAATTGCACACATTGTTCGCACCATGGCCCTTTATTTCTTGGGGTATGGATGTCATTGGACCAATTGAGCCAGCAGCATCCAATGGGCACAGGTTCATTTTGGTAGCCACTGATTATTTCACTAAGTGGGTTGAAGCTAAAACTTTCAAGTCCGTGACCAAGAAAGCAGTGGTTGATTTTGTCCATTCAAATATCATTTGTCGGTTCGGGATCCCAAAGGTGGTCATCACAGATAATGGTGCTAATCTCAACAGTCATCTGATGAAAGAGGTATGTCAACATTTTAAGATTACGCATCGTAATTCCACCCCATACCGTCCCAAGGCGAATGGAGTAGTCGAGGCAGCCAACAAGAACATAAAGAAGATACTTCGGAAAATGGTGCAAGGTTCCAAGCAATGGCATGAAAAGTTGCCCTTTACGTTGTTGGGTTATCGCACTACTGTTCGCACCTCAGTAGGTGCAACTCCTTATTTGTTGGTATATGGCACTGAAGCAGTGATACCCGCGGAAGTTGAAATCCCAGCCCTTCAGATTGTTGCTGAGGCCGAAATTGATGATGATGAGTGGGTCAAAACCCATTTGGAGCAATTGAGTTTGATTGATGAGAAAAGATTGGCAGCAGTGTGTCATGGCCAGTTGTATCAAAAGAGAACTGCAAGAGCATACAACAAGAAGGTGCGTCCCCGGAAGTTTGAAGTAGGTCGGCAAGTATTGAAACGTATCCTTCCACATCAGGCCGAAGCAAAAGGCAAGTTCTCCCCAAATTGGCAGGGGCCGTTCATCGTAACAAGAGTGCTGTCCGATGGTGCTTTATATTTAACAGATATAGAAGGCAAATGTGTGGATATGGCTATCAATTCTGATGCAATCAAAAGATATTATGTATGATTTCTTGGATTTAAATTGTGTTTGTTTGTACTTGGCATGTTTTGAAGATTGGAATGACAAAGGCATTTTATTCTGCTATCTAAACACTTTACCCTTTGTTACCCCGTTGAGCCTTATTTATTTCCTTTCATACCCCTCCTTTGGAATCAGTAGCAAAGTTCATAAACACGAGCGCAAAAGGGGAGTAAAGAAGAAAAAGAGAAAAGAAAAGAGAAAAGAGAAAGAAAAGAATGGAAAAGAGTGGAAAAAAAGAGAAAAGGGAAAGAAAATAAAAGAAAAAAGGGAAGAAAAGAAAAGAAAAGGAAAAGAGAGAAAGAAAAAGAAAAAGAGAAAAATCACAACAACAAGGCAATGCATGTGTCATGAACTACGTTCGATCTAATTCCTTTTAAGGATAGTAGGCAGCCTCACGGTTCGGTCCCATCAAAACAAAAATCCAAAAGTCCCCAAGCAAAGAAACCGGGGCAGAAAGTTGTGTTTGTTGTAAGAGATCTGATTCCAAAGTTGTAATTTTAAACCCATTCAAGTTCTGTTGAGCCTTTGTGACACCCTTTCTTTTAACCCTATCCAAAAGCCCACATTACGGTCCAAAGAAAGACCTTCTGATCAGTCTACGAGAGATGCCAAGTCAAGCAAATGCGGTGATTCATATCAGGGGCAACATTCCGGTCCGAGCAGGAAAAATGAAAAAATGAGAGAGTCTTATTGGTGAAAACTCTCACGGGCACCGTGAAAGTTGAGAGAAATCAAAAATGAGAGAGTCTTATTGGTGAAAACCCTCACGGGCACCGTAAGGCGACGAAAGATGAGAGAAATTAAAATGAGATTGTCTTATTGGTGAAAACCCTCACGGGCACCGTAAGGCGACAGTGAGTTGAGAGATGAACAAATGAGAGAGGTTTGTTGGTGAAAACCCTTCAGAGCATCGCAAGCCGAACAAGGTCAGTGATTTGGCGAAGAAATTGGGTTATGGAGAGCCCGGGGCATAAAGTATGGCAATTGAAAGGTGATTGGTGGAATAGGCTGGGCTGATTAATCCGAAATGCATGTCATGATCTAGTCCTCAATGGTTCATACTCTTCGTCGACCGGGTTTTCGGCCAAATGATCAGCTAATGCTTGGGCTTTAATCGCGGTCCGAGTCACATAGATATTGTCAAACTCTGTGAGCAAGATTTGCCATTTGCGAGCCTTCCTATGGGCATGAGCTTCTGAAAGATATACTTTAAAGGATCCAGGCGAGAGATGACGTAAGTAGTGTGGGATGACAAATAATGCTTCAACTTCTGTGCTACCCAAGTTAAGGCGCAACATGTCCTTTCAAGGTGAGTGTACTTGACCTCATAAGATGTGAACTTCTTGCTGAGATAATAGATGACTTGCTCCTTCCTACCAGTGATGTCATGTTGACCCAATACACAGCCAAACGAATTGTCCAAGACTGTTAAATAACGAATTAAAGGCCTTCCGGGTTCCGGCGGGACCAATACGGGTGGGTTCGACAAATACTCTTTGATCTTATCAAATGCTTCTTGGCACTCATCAGTCCACTTGACCGCAGCATCCTTCTTTAGAAGCTTAAAGATGGGCTCACAAGTTGTCGTGAGTTGAGCAATAAATCTGCTGATGTAATTTAATCGCCCGAGCAAACTCATCACCTCAGTCTTGTTCCTTGGAAGTGGCAATTCTTGAATAGCTTTGATCTTTGATGGGTCCTGTGAGCACGTAATTTTTGCCCTATATGAACTACTCCCATAAATTCAAGAAAAATAAAATTTTCCCATTATTTGCAATTTCGTAGATTTTTGTAGCAATTTTTTTAATTGTTTGCATTTGTCTGCGCATGTTAATTTTGTTTAATTAATGAAAAACACAAAAATATGTTGCATTTGCATTTAGGATTTAATTCTATATTTTTAGGATTAATGAGAAAATTAGTTGTTTTATAAAAAAGGGAGAATCACAAAAATAGTTTATTTTTGCACCTTTTAATTTTAATTTTGAATTTTGGTAGTTTTTCCTTTAAATTTGGTTTTTTTATTAATTGTGGTTTTGTTATTAATCATTTTAATTTGATAGAATTTAACTTAGGTTTCAATTTGTTTTAATTTTGAAAAAAAAAGGAATTTAAAAGAGGAATAAAAGAAAGGAATTGAGAGGTCAGGTTTTTGGGCCATTTTTGACTTAAATCACTCAGGCCCAAGCCATTTTTTCTCCAAGACCCGTCCAAACCCGCCCAGTCCAAGCCCAACCAATGCTGTAACCCGGTCCAAGCTTCCATTTAAACCCAAACGGTGTCGTTTAGAGTTCCTGGTCTTGAAACGATCTGAGCCTTTCACGTTGGCTCATCCAACGGTGGAAGTTGCCTCTTTTGTTTTAGTTAAATATATCCTAAAGTGTATAGATCAGTTTAGTCCAAACAGTCCCCTCCCTCGTTTATCTCTTCCATCTCTCTCCTGAAAACCCTAGCGCCGCCTTCAATCTCTTCGCCATTTCCGGCCGGCGGCGGAGCTCGAACACCACCCAAAATCCAGCCCTGCAACCATCACCCTTCCCTCAACCCCAATCCACCACCATTTCTCCCCAAGTCCTCACCAAATCAGTCGAGTTCAAGTCTAAAAACGAAGAAGAAGAGAATCCGTCAAGCCTTCAAGTTCCCTTGAACGATAGGGCTTGAAATGGGTATTGCCCGTTTGTTCTCTTTGAGAACGTACCGTTAATACCAGTTTCGAATAAAATCGATATCGTTTAAAGTTTATCAAGCCATGTCCGTGTAGCCTTAGAGGTATTCTCTTCATTTCTTTCTCCTTCGTCTTCCTCGTTATTGAACTCATTTTCTTCTGCTTCTTCTCTTTTCTGTCTTTTAAATATTTTAGGGCAGTTAGTATGCATGTCTATGATTCTGAGTTTTTCTCTTCTTTTTTTTTTGTGTGGATTTATCTTGGCGTTCAATATAGTGAATTTGGTCAAACTAATTACTTTTTCTAAAAAATGTCTCCGAGTTTTTCTGATAAAATCCATTTTTGTTAAAAGTTCAAAGTCTGGTTGGTTTGAAGTTCTAACTATGTTCAGAATGAGAAATTTATGTTTGGGCTGTAGTCTTTAGGCCCATGAATTGGGGGAGGTTTTGTGTCAAGAATTGGAGTTTTGGCCGAGATTAGAATTAGAAATTCACTATTTGGGTCATAGTCTTCAAGCCCATCGCATTTGTATTGACCCATTCTGATTTTTTTGAAGGGTAAAAACAGGGTTATTAAGGGGTAGTTTGAGTAGTCTAGCCTAGGGAATCTTGAGTGTAACTGAATAGGAAGCTTCTAGGAAGCTGGGTGTCACGACCCAAAATCCATTAAGGGTCGTGATGGCGCCGGACACCGCTGTCAGGCAAGCCAACCAAATACTTAATTAAACTCCAATATTAACAATTTTGGAAACCAAGATTTTCCTTTAAATTTCATAAGTAAGAAGATAACTGCTTCAATTCAAATTAAATACTAGCAATCAACACAAAAATATTTAAAAACCATCCCAGAACCAGGTGTCACAAGTGCATGAGCATCTACTGATAAGGAAATAAAATACAATACGACATCCATCCGGAATACAGTGGACAGAAAGAAAATACAATTTACTGGAAGGGATTTTACTAGCTGCGGGCCGCCTAGAATAATGCAACTCACCTAGTCCCCGAATCATCCGTGCTGCTATGCCCAGTGGGCTGCTAGAGATAAATATACTTGTGCAATAAAAATGCACAGAAGTGTAGTATGAGTACGTAAACAACGTGTACTCGATGAGTATCCCGTCTAATCTCGGAGAAGTAGAGACGAGATGGTCAACTTCGACACTTACTAGAGGTCAATTGAT